AGACGCCGATCCAAAGCCAGCACCAGCATGGCAGCAGCGCCCGCAAAACAAAACGCCGACCCAGCACCAGCACCAGCATGGCAGCAGCGCCCGCAAAACCGAAACGCTGATCCACAGCCAGCACCTCCAGCACCCCCCGCAAAACCAAAACGCCAATCCAGAGCCACACTATTGAGAAGTTAAAACCCCTAAAGCCTGCAGCTATCTGGGGAAAAAACAGTCCCAGCTACAGCATCTCTTGCTTCAAAGGACTCACTCAAGCGGCATGCCAAGTCTCTACTTTCAAAGAGGTTTCCGAACGCTCGAAGCATGCCACCCTGTGGCTGTGACAGGTGGAAATATCTGCTGCTAGTTGTCAAAGCTGGGTAGAAACAGAGTTTCGGTATGCTGTGTAAACATAGGACAGATAAAGAAACTGGAAGGAGGAGGTGATCGCGTTGTGAAAAGCAACAAAATGTAAGAAGAGTTTTGGAGCTGTCATCAAGCAGGACACAAGCAACTATGCAAAACTATTCCCAAAAAAGAATCGTTAAGTCTACCTGGCTAAGCCTGACTGCAAAACAAAACACCCAATTGAGTTTTCTTCTTCAAAGGTCCTGTTTGCTTTGCTCCTTTGTTCTGCATTCTGTGCACGGATGGTGTTCAATTTATGCTTGGTTTTTCTTTTTTCTTTGTGTCCTGCATTGCCCGAATCATCTTCAGATTCTTTGGAGTCTTTGGGACTGGAAGTCGTTGGTCCTGTTGAGTCGTGTAGGTGCGAGACGCCTAAGTCGCCGTGTTCCTTGCTTGGCCCATCATCCCATGCTGCACCTCCTCGTTCGTGTAGCTCTTTGGATCAAACAACGCTCGCTGCAAGGAAAAGCCGCCACCTCCCAGTGCTATGATGATCTGTCGGTTCGTATATCCTTGGAAGCCAATGAATGCTCTCAACAGGAAATCACTAGACTGGAGGATCAGCTTCTTCGCTATGGAGCATCCCTCAAAAAAAGCAACACCCTTCAGTGTGGCCGCCACAAATCCCAATGCGTATCCCGGTTGTCCAAGTGTCTGGAGATATAGCGGACCAACTGGTGAGTCCTCGAACACCAAAACAAAAACAAATCCGCGCAGCGGAAGGATTCGTCAAGCGTCGACACCGAAGTGAAAGGAGAACAAGCATAACAAGCTACACCAGTCGCAGGTAGCAAGTCCCTGTCCTTTTGATGTTGGAGAGAAGAATAGGATAATTCAATTCCTGCAGCAGCTCCATGCGATCAATGAAGTCCGAGGCCAAGACACCTGAGAACGAAATGGTCTACAAGGTCAATCCGTCAAAGAAGCTACAATAGAATGCAGGCTGTTGGTAAGACGGTAAGAGTCAATAAGCAAAACCTAAATCAAACCGCCATTTCTTGGCAAATGGTTTAGGCTGGCTGAGACAAGGCGGCTGTTAATGCCAGCTGATATGCCAGCTGATTGTTCCACGTTTCCGAACGCAAAGTTCATGGATCTGAAAGAAGATGTTGAAACACGGATTGAGCAAGAGCTACGAAGAGGAGTTTTCGAACAGACCTGTCTCATGGACATAGAATAATCATGAAAGATCTATAGAACCTCCCAACCGACCTGGCTCAGAGCTTGGCTGAAAAAGTAATAAACTCGTCAAGGTACTGTCGTCCCCATTCGTGATGTTCATGAGCGCCTCAGATGGACTCAGACTCGCACAAAGGAAGTCCCGGGCGGCCCGGGAGGGCTGAGACAACGACGTTCTTCTTGCCGAGAAACGTCCACCGAAATCGAATCACCGCCCATAGACAGCTCATTGAAAATGCTTCGGGTCTCTTCCTGCCGTCAGAGGGTCTCTCACATGGACAGCTTGCCCTGAGAGAGGTGTTTCCCCTAAAAACCTCACCTCTCAACTCTTAGCCAGCTGCTGAAAGACCTAATCAAATATCTATTCTGGATGGATTTCTCAGGCGCAGTGATTTCCACTGATACAGTTCACCCACAAAAAGTCCTGCGAGAGGCTTCCATCAACCAAAGCTGTAAACTCTTCCATGCTGAGTTTCCCATCTCCTCGAGGCAAAACTTTACCAGCTTGCTGTTTCCAACAAATGGGAGGATGCTTCCACGCTGGCCCTGATTCTAGTGGGCAATTGGAAAGAAATTCTGCCAACCTGACTCCCTGCCACTCCCCTGGGTGCGTTGTTTCAAATTTGACTTGACCAGAAACAAAACGCTAGCTTGCGAGAGGAAGGAACTTGCAGTCAACAATGTGTGCACCACGCGTTGGAAAGTGTGGCTTCCTCATACTCTTGCATCTCACGCAGACAGTATGCATTGGCCTGATGTGTGTGTGTGTGTAAGTGCGTTGCAAACTTCCTCTTTCACAGGTCTCCAGCTGATCTATGAGGTTTCTGAGATTTGCTGAGTCTTTTTAGATGTGAAAGGGCGAATCAAATCTGAAGCGAACCCGCTTCAAAGCTGTCAAGATCTTGCTGCCAAGCTGCTATAGGTGTCCGCCGCATAGATTTCCTTCATCCGGTCCAATCTGACCTTTGTTTCCTGCCACGAGACCGGCACCGTGAGGTCATCGATCCTGAGCAAACTGTGAGGCGCCGAACCGCCGAATCAACCAGCAGTCCGGACTATCACTATCTAGGTGAAAAAGAATTGAAAAGGAGAAGAACAAAATTCACAGAAGTTGTTTCGGCCCCTTTTGTTAGACTTCTTTTCAAGGAGGTCTGCTTTTTTTCATCTCTTCGTCCCATGCAGCTGGTGCTCTGGAGGTTCATCACGCTCAAGGGCGGTTTATCCTCACCGCCTTCGGACCGCAGCTTCCGCTCCGTGGCCTTCGGGTTTTGGATCGGTTTGGGGGCAGATCACCTTTGCCTTCAAGAGAAGCAATCGATTCTTGGAAATAGTTTGTCCAAAGAAACCAGCTTGGTATGAACCTCGTTAGGCTAGATTGAAGCTCGATGCCAAAGTCGGCAGATCGTGATTCTGGGATGTTTGGGTCTTTTTTGGTGTTATTTATCTTCAATCGCACATCAACCGGTGGCGGCCGATACGGTGCTCACGTCATCTGATCAAGTCGCCTGATTGAAGCTGTTTTTCTTGCTGATGTCTCTCCAAATCGCAAAACCGGAGGCACAAAGAAATCCTGAATCTTCAAGTTCCCTTTGTAAAAACAACAAAACAACATGTATACATATATATATATACATATATGGAAGATGTTCGTGAAAATTCTTGTCTTCCACATCCGACAAGACCCAATCCCTGATCGCAAGCGACCACGACGATGTGGCCTCCAGGACTTCCGTGTGCATGAAGGTCACCGGCTTGAAGCGAGACCTCTCCACAATCACCTGGGACAGAGAACTCTGGAGAAACCCAAGCCACCAAAAGAACTTGGACCAAAAATGGATGTCTTTCTGATGCTTTTGCTTGATCATAATTGGTGTCCACATCTCTCAATCAAAGAAGACACGCCCTCCAATAACCTGATTCTTCCAATGCAACACAGGCACCGGACATTTGTAGAGAAAGTTGTTTGGGACAGCCATCTTGTAGTTTCCATTGCTATCAGGTTGCAAAATCACCTCAGCTGAGCGTGTGAGGTCTACTTCAAGAGCACACCTCGTTTTCTTCATGAATGGAGCATCCACCCGAATCCAGCGCCGAGCCACCCCGTTGGCGATCCGCAGCTGGATCAGGCGGAAAGCCAAAAGCCGCGGGTCCACGGATTGGAAGGGCGGACCCTGACGCAAAGCCCACACCGATGTGACTTCCCATCCGGTGAAACACCGGTGAACCGTGGTTTCCCCAAGCGGGTCTTGAAATCTTGGTCACAACCTTCAAGTTGCAAGTGTGAGGTTTGCTACACCGAGCCTTGAAATCCACATAGTCCACCTCAATGCGCCCACCACCGCCTGGTTCGTCACCTTGGCCAGGTCAAGAATGTTCCACGGAAGGATCTGGTACAGGATCTTGCAAACACCGTTGCCTCTAAATGTGTGTCACTGAATATCACACTCCAAACATTAAGTGCAAATCAAACCACGATCAGTTCAAACCGACGACCCAAACGACGATCTGTTCAGCCAAGTCTCTGAGCGCCATCCCATCCAAAAGGAAGGATGTGATGAGATACGGATCTGACCTCAGGAGGTCGAGACATGGATGACAAGATCGCGCCGGTGCGGTCAACACCACATATGCCCAGGGTGGGAACAAAAGCTACAGTACTGCAGGGATGGAAGAGAATGTCCGAATGAGTCCTGTTGGAGGCGCTTCCCTGAACATCAGTAGGGGTGTGGCAAAGCACAATCACTCTCAATCATTCTGTGGTACCTGTTGCGGGGGGGGATGAATCAATTGAGCCCTTGAAAAGGAATCCTGGATCCCTTTCATGTCTGATTGTGTTTGCCACCACTGCATGAATTGAATCAAACATGTTCCTCTAATAGGTTGTGCGTGCAAATTGAACTTCGGCCAAGCACGGCTGAAGTGCTTGGACTTGTGGCGACTGAGAGCAGAACAGTCCTTTGCAGAGATAGATCAAGTTGGTGCCTTAGCTGCATTTTTCGTATCGACATGTTTCGATCAATGCATTAATTGACTTCAATCACATGAACTGCTTGACATCTTGAGGTTTGGGGCTTACATATAAAAGTGCCGCTCAGCATCAATTACGCCGCAGAATGCGAGCCAAATTATGTTCGACAAACACATAGACTCGCTCCAACAATCACGAATCACGGAAGATAGGATTCCATCTCTACGATTCCATCTGGTAAACAATTTACCGTAAAATCATAAGTTGTGTGTCGTGTCAATGTGGACGGCAAAAGTTGCATAAGATGAAATATGGTTTAGCTGTGCTTCCCCAGTTGTTGGGGGGGAGTATACAGAAAGCTTACAGGAAAAAGCGCGTTCAACACAACACACAAGGAAGACTCACCACAGAACCCTTTGCCAAGGTGTGCTCTTTGCCAGAGCAGAAAACAAAGACAATCTGCCACAGTGGTACTGAAAGAGAATTCAAGTTGCCCAAAACTCCAATGGCCTCCCCTTGCAACTGCGCAGTTGGCTGGCTCATTCGGATGTGAAGTATCCTCAGGCAGCGATAAGGTCAAACAAAAAACTTGGGACTGGTTGAGCTGAGCTCCCCTGTCCGAGCCGAGCTAAAATGCCGTGAACAGCTGTCTGCTTTTCAAGTCACACAGTGCTCCTTTCTTCGCCCGGCTTTGACTGGTATGTCAAGCCCACCCAGCCTAAAAGATTCTCTTTGTGTTCATCACATGCCATACTGAAAAACAAAAACAAACAAACAAACAAACAAACAAAACACACGCAAAATGGTACTCTCAAGCTGTTTCAATGTCCCGTTCACAGTTTGTAGACATATATACTATATATATATATATATACGTGATTCAACTTGATAGGGTTCTAGCACCTAAGTAAAGGTAAGGCTGGTGATAAGTTCAGAGCACTGATCACTGTTCGACCTATTGGCCTTGCAAAGCCCACCCCCAAAACGATTGCGCCTCAACAAGGGGCGGTGTTCTTCGTTTTCTATACTGGTTTATTTCGGCAGTTGCCTTCACACTCACGATCTGAATTGTAGGCTTTGGCAGCAACCGTGGTGGCAAAAGCGAAGAAGCAAGCATCGTCACCTGGAAGTGTGGCCGATTGGCATCTTTCTTTGGATGGCAGGAAAATGAATCACCTTGTAAAAAGTTGTGGGTTACCCCTAGAAGAACATTCTACTTAGCTTGAAATGGTGCTAGTGTGCAAGTAAGAACTCTTTTTGGTCTCAGTCTAACACTTCTAGGGTACACCGAGAACCATACAAAAAGAACAGAATCCATAGCACTCCACTGCCTGCACATCCTTGCGAAAAGCAATTGCCAGGGACAAAGATTGCGGAAAACTGACAAGTATGTTCTGCTCCAGATGAAATCAATATCAAAAAGAATGCACAGCATCTTGGAGCTGAACTGGATGAACATAACTGAAGCTGCCAAGCAAATTCGCTTCAGGATCTGCACCTCTCTGCTTTCGCAAGGTCTTTTCGACAAGGTCGTACTCGGTGTTCAGCATCTGTTCCAAGCGCTCCCGCGTGACGTAGCGCTTGGCCTCTCAGGAAGCCAAAGTGGTCGACACGATCTGATGAGAATGGAACGATCTGATGATCAGAATCCCATGTATCCAATCATGAAACTGGCACCTGGCCGTAATTGACATCGGACATCTTCATGTCATAAGCGGAGATGGACCGTGCCACAGTTCCAGCTGCTGCTCCAGCTTGCAGAAACGTGCGAGACACCTGGGGCACGAAGAGACAGATTGCAAGACGCTCTGCTGGATGCGGCTGATCAATCGAGTCTTACCAGCTGGATGAAAGTAACTCAGGTTTTATTCATGTCATTTGGCAGGACTCCTAGCTATAATTGTAGCAGGTCCTCAGCTAGATACTCCGTCTGACCTCTTGGCCAGCACCAATCTCTGCGAAACTGCCATAGAACTTGTCATCCAGGTTTACGGCCAACGCTTTCTCTGCTGGTGTGCCTGGCCACTGCTTGGCCAAAGGCGGCTTGGCCAAACAAAGAACTGTGCAAGCTTTTTCTATCGGCCTTTGGCGCGATTTCGGTTTGGTTCTAAAGGAACCTAGTAGCGATGGCCTCCAACCTAATCGCGATGGCCTCCAACCTACCAGCGATGGCCTCCTATTACTGGCCTCCATCCAAAAAGAATCAGAGTTGTCGTGTCACCAGACCTCGCCTCCCAAGTGCACCATCTTCCTCAACTCTTCCACAGCGCATCGCCGTACCCGCACAGAGTGGCGTCTCGACTTGCGCAGCCAGCGCCGGTTCGCCTTTATTTTACCGATTTGACATTGGCCAGGGACGATGATTCTTCAACCTCAAACGAACTTGCTTCCTATTTGGGGATTTCAAGCAGATCGTGTAACGAGCAACCAAAAATGTGAAAGATCACAATACTGAAGGTTGTCGACTGTTTTCGAGGCATCTTCAAACATGGTGGACCCGAACAGGCTTCTTCTGCTCGAGTTCTTCAGACTTTGATGCCCGTCCGCACGAGGCTTGGTATGCTTGGTTGCCTTTAAACCTGACCAATTCCTCTTTTTGCAAGTGGATCCGTACCTGAAAGCGTAGCCACACTATTAAAAGACACCAAATTTCGGATCTCCGAGATGCCCTTTCCTGCAAAGAGGTGGCAACGGCTACCCCCCCACCTTGGCGCTCAACGCACAAGCTGTGGCTGCAGTGGCCAACGTGGCGCTGCCAAGCTCGATCTGCCAACAAAGGGGGACTGACAGGCTGGGATGTGTCTGAGAGCGGTTGCTTGAGGTTTATCATGGTTTATTATCTTTCAGATTACCTCTAATGTTTAACGTGTTCATGATCCTAATTTCATCCAGATCTCCAATATTTTCTACAGTTGGTTGAAGGGACTGACAACAAACTGCTCAGGCGCCTGGGAATCCGCTTTGGTCACCCTACGCCATGGCAACGATGGCACGGTGCCTACTGGAGCAGACACCAGTCTTGGTGCAACAAAGGCCAGCTCCATGGTTATGAGCCAAAACAGCTGAGCACGGGAAGACTCACATCTCTTAACATCTCTTAACTCTTCAGGCTTTTGAGCAGGTGTTCACAGGACACGCTATGACACACTGATAGAAATGGCCTTTGACTTCAGCGAATCGATCCACCTTGCCGCATCAGTCCACCCAACTCTGGGATGGCCTGGCCTAGACCGTTGGCTTCCCGTTCTCACTACCCGGACATTGCAGCAAACCAAGGCCATCTATATAATGTTATAATGTATTCTAATGAAAATCAATCAAAACATACCAAATCATGCAAAATCCAATGAAATCCAGGTCATGAGATCGATCTCCAAATGCCTGGATTCGACTTGTGCCTCCAGACATTCAAGGAGGATCACATCATCGCATTACAGGATCCCAGAGGTAGCAGAGGAGTCATAGCCAGCATGGCATGAGTGGCAGAGGATCCCATGACACGAGATGAAAAATCAGCATCTGTGTTCTACTACTAAACCCATGACCTACGAATACGGAGCTCTAGGCATCAAGAAGCAGCTGGTATGCATCTTCAATTTCCCGCGCTTGTGCAACTCGGAAAGGCGAGACTTTGGAACAAAAATACCAAGACCAAGCAAAATGCCTCGCACACTTTGCTGACATCAGCACATCAAGACATGCAGTCGCCCTTTTGATCCAAGAACTTCTGCCAGGAAACCCTTATCTTCGGCCGCCAGGTCCTTCATTAGTTCCTGGCACATCAAACAGGGCCATTCAGTACACCAGCCAATTCTCTGCGCAAAACAGGGAAAATCTACAGGAGATGGGTATTAGATCAGTATGGGCCAAATATGAAATGCTCTCAGCAGAGCTGCGAAATAAAAACACTTCCAGAGATCCTGTGCCCCATGCAGGGTGCGATTGACCCCAAGAGCTTTTTCCAAGCTCGTCGATTCGTTCAGACCGGGTCCGCGCCTTGTCTCGCTTGTCATCTGGTCTCCATAGTAGCCAAGTGAGGCACCTGAAGACAACATGCGAGGCACTCTGCCAAGCAGCAAAGGTAGCGTGTTTCAACTGCAACTTGTTCATTGTGTTGAGTGTCCAAGTTTCTCTATCTTTTTGTGGTTGGCCAGTAAAGGGCAAAGGTTTTAATAACAAGTGTATGCAGCTTTCCCAGCAAGACAGACAGCGACTTGCGAATCCGAAGCTTCAAGCAAGTATCAAAGGAAAAAAACAGGGACTTCAATAGTTGGAAGCATAAATGATTGCTAGCAACACAACCGCCCATTGGGCACAACTGTCCAGGCTGTACAGCTGTATGGATATCTCGGCAAGAGAAAAGAAATCACAGGGTTCAGTCGTTGTACACTGGCCATTCCCGGGATGCTCCTTCACCCCCTCTTGTGCCAGGTTGCGCCACGACCAAACCTCAGAAAGAGCACAGCATTAGAGCCATGAGAGTCGAAGTGCAGTGCTTTTCTTCTGCCCAGTATAACTCTGATAGTACAAAGACTGCGGGCAAGGTGCATTCAACATTCAACGCTGCAGCGTGCGCCAGCAACGCTTGCTTCTCGGTAAATGTCCACTTCTGGAACATGTCCTGGAAGGGCTGATGCGTTGCCTGTACACCACTCCTCCTTCATGATCACAATATGATTTGCTGGGGTTCGCAAGAAAAACTGGTTTGTGGAGTCTGAAGTACGAAAATGTGGTCAGTGCCCAGATACATGGTTGGAAAAGGCCCTACCCGTGGTAAAAAAAGGCATGTGCTGGCCTCCAAGTGGAACTTTGCAACGTTTTCCGACACGTTCTTATAGAGCGGCGAGCCAACCTCGTGAAAACAAGTGTCCACCGAAGAAACTCGACTTGGCCAACCGAGATCGGCCCGTGTCCTCTCGGCCAAGAAGCTGTGATTGCTTGAAGCACCGTGGGCTGAATCTGCGCGATGAGCAGCAAGAGTCGAACACTCGTAAACCTGAGTGACTCACCCAAAACGTCTCCATCGGTCGCCAGCCGTGCCAGCCAAAAGGATGAGCCCCAAAAGGATTGAGTCCCAAAAAGCCTGCCAAAAAAGCCCTTCTTTGGGATGAGATCTCTCAAACTTCAGCTTCGTTCGAGCTGCTTGGGATTGGCTCCATTGAGGCCTCTGGCTATATCAGGAACTCGACCTGGGTGAGACACGTCGGACAGGTCAACGTGTAACAAAAGACAGAACATAAAATTGAACACGATTTCAATAGTATTCAGACATATTCAGACTATTCCTCTTCACAGTATGCATTCCCTGCAAGATTGCTGCTTGTTGTTCAGGATATGTTGATGGATTTCAAGCCTTTGGCAAGACAAGACAAGACAAGACTGGGACTGGCCAAGGGGCTGATGAGAAACATATTGAGCATACAGAGCAGCGTAACGAAGCTGAAGATTGTGGCCACCTGTCTCAACATGTCCCAAACCCCAGGTGACCAATGTTTGGCTTCAGCAAGACAATTGAACACTTGAAAGACACATCAAACGGATGATCTAGATATTCGGCATTGTAGCTTCATTGGTATCTGCAGTATGTTGAAAGAGTCCTTCATTCCATCAATGGTCCAGAGATGTTTGGTTAGCACGCCGTGAAAAACCTTGATAAGAGGGCTCCGGAGAGGCGCTGACCAAAATATAGATTTGCATGCACAAGACTTCTCAAAACATGTTTTTTTTTCATATTATATACTTTTGTTTCACTCCTTTACAAGTCTTCATGTAGCTTTCAGATGCTTACAGTAGAATGCTTGAAAGCCACGCCTTGCCGAGGACCTTGTCTTGGATTATCTGTGCCTGCAGACTTGAATCGCCCAAAACCTCTCCCTTTCTTGTTGACCAAGGACTTTCACATTTGGCGTGCAAACCTTGAGCTCACGTTCCTTTTCTATGATCAAATTTATCCAGTGTGAAAAGCGCATCTGTTCGGTACGTCTCCTGCTCGTGATACTTGGGCATCTCAGAGATGTAGGTCACCTTTCATTTGCAATCTAGGCTTTGGATGGCTGCGAGACAGACTGTAAACATACAAACATTTCAGCATGCAAACAGGGTAAGCTACAGGGAGATCCTCACTGAATCCTACTGTCCATCCATCGACACACACGCACATAAACAAAAATGATGCTACTGCTAACTCTGCAGCAAGCAGCTGCTATGTCGAAGATAGTTCGGAGCACCCCAATGAAGACAAAGGCATAGACGCCCTGCACTGCGGTGTAGGCCACAATTCTCATGTACCTCAAACTGTTGGTGCCAAGCTTTTCGCAAACAACAAGAAATGTTCTGCAAAGGTTACACTTGCCACAGTTGTGTCTGTCCTCAAATGCTGTGAAGGGACCGCTTCGCTGAGTACTGTGTGTCTCGTATACTAACCATCCGAGAGTGTTGGAGAAAGCTGGTGCAAAGCAGCCCAAACATCAAGCATGCATAGAATTGAAATCCCACCTAAGCAACTGATAAACCTGTACAGAAAATGCTTCCGGTGAGATGCTTAAACCTGAACCTTAAGTTGTCAGTGCCAAGTGGCAGCCAATTCCAGGTCCATTTGGTAGGTGGCCTGACCCACCAAAAACTGAAACGTTTTGGGCCCATGGTCGGCCCTGTTTGCCAGTCGATCGCCCCAATCCGCCCAGCGGCGATTTCCAAACGCGACATCTCTTCCTTAGGGCGCCGGAGTTTTTTTTCCACATGTCTTGGATCTTGGTACACCACACCAGGACTTGAAGAATACCAATAACTATGGTATTGTCACCATGGTATTGTCACACCAGACTTAAGATCTTTACCAACAACTATGACAACATGTGTACCAGTGCTAGCTGGGTTCTCTGAAGTTCTGAAGCTGCTGTTGAGGGACCCATGATCTGTCGCCGCGAAATGCAGTTCCAGTCATCACAGTCCAAATTCGAATCAACGAGCGCATTGACATGACCTTTGTGGCTGGGGCGTGCTTGAACGCTTGGATCCTTTCCACCCCAAGACCATGTACGCTCCATGAGCAAACCGTTCTTGGCCCTGCGCAATAAAGATCAAGGGTGTGCCCAAGATGATCACCACCTCAGTTGAGGAAGTGGTGGAAACCAACCACAGCAGCTTAACAGCGAAACCTCGCCACACAAACGTTGCAGAAACCACACAATCCTGTGAGCCCGACCCAATCCATTCGATCCGCCAGCTTCCAGGGCATCCCATCTGTGGCGACTTGGACCTCGTGGCCTTCGTCGTCATCAGGAAAGGCCTGTGGAAAACAGCATTGAGTTCGAAGGCTGAGTCCAGTCTGTCAGGGTTAGGATTAGGAATTGATCTCAGAAGCAAAGAATATGTTATTGCGCACAACTAATCCTATCTGGATCCCTAACTGAAGACTCAGATCTCACCTGTTCTCCCTGCTTCACTTTTAGCTTCACGTCGGCATTCTTCTTGACAAAGTATCCCAGCCGCATGCTAAGGATCGCAAAGCCAAGGAGGCCACAAACCTTGCTTTCCAACAAAATGAGACCTTCTCAAAACTGTCGGAGGTCAAGAAATTGGTCAAATGTGCTGGATGACCCAGATCAAAAATCTAATATATATATATATACATATATATATACAATCTAATGCTTTCCGTGCTCTTCTTGAAAAGCTGACAATACAATCCTCCGACATGAACCCTTCTAGTTTGTGCTTGGAAAGGAGCACTCTCATGACTGGGCTCAATGTTTTACTGAACTTCCAGCAAATCATCCAAATCATAGGCCACGGCACTGGCGCTACCAGGGAGAACTTGTGTAACCATGGAGGAATACGAAGTTCTTTCCTCCAGGGACGGCTGAGTGGCCAGGGACAGAGAGGCTAAGTTTCGTTCAACGCTCAATTGGTTTTGGTTCAATATTGTTTGGACGAGTTCCGTGTCCTCAGGGCATCGCAAGCATCATCAGAGAGAGATTTGGCATCACAAATCTTTTCTATTTGGTTGTAAATCTTGTCCTTGGAATCCGAATTCTGGGGAGTTATCCCAGTAAGTTGTCTCTGCAATTGAGCAGCCCAGCTTGGCCAAGAAGCGTCACTAAGGAAATGAAAGCCGATGTAGTCGTACTTGACAATGTCATAGAATGTTCTGACCTCTGGAAGAAAGCAGGGAAGCTTCCCTTCAGGATATCGCCCTGAAGGACTTTCATCAAGGGAGGACATGGCCCATGAGTTGATCTGCAGGAAAGTCACCAGCAACAAAACGAGGAAGGCAAAGGTCAAATAGTACCTTGGGAGAAGATGTGGGCGCCTTTCATCACTTTTCTGCATCATGTTCCCACATGACAGAGCTCAATGAGTTGCGCACATCTTCTGGGGTTTACTGCCATTCATTCAGCGTCGCCCCATGGGAATCTGCATGATGCTAAGCCAAGATGCCACTGGAACATCCATGCCACAGGTCCGCCTTAATTACTTGCACCCACGATTGGGAACGCTGTCGATTGGGTGCTTACCCACCCAATTCAATTCAAGCGACACATATGAAGAAGTCTCTGCGAGCAGTGACATCTCAGGAGCATTCGCCATATCATGACTCCTATCCTTGGATTTGATCACGCCGCAAGTATAGAAGGCCTATATTAAGGAGTGCTTGATAGTTCTTGCATTCATGCTCAGCCAGCAAGTATAGAAGTATTGTGAGAGAAAATGAGAAAACAAGAAACCACTGGCAGCAGTAGACCAATACTAAAATCACATCATCATCATCATCATCATCATCATCATCATCATCATCATGACGGAAACAAACACAAAGCCGATCAATTATTGGAATCAAGCAGCAAGAAGATCCATCCTAGCAGAGTTTCATCCTGAAGAGACCGGCGAGGATGTGGTGCATGACAAGATCTCCGATCAATTTAGCAGCTCGGTCTTCAATTGCACCTACTCAGATGTCCTACTTCTCCTGTTATTTTTTGTGTTGTGTGGTCTTGGATTGAGACAGAGTGCGAATGGTGCACGGCGTCAGAGAGCTACCAGCATATTATCCGTATCCCAACAGATTCTATTTTTCTGTGGGACAGACAACCATCGTCCATCTCCAAACATCACTCCCATGGGCCCCCCCAGCCATCGCGGCCGTCACAACTGAGGCCCGTCTCGCTTTCCAGCCAACGCTGCAGTTGTAGTTCTCGTGCCAAGCAGCTGCCAAAATCGAACCCAAAAGGAACAAAACGACGTCAAGTGCTAACGGTCTTTTCCACTGAGCACCGCCTGTTCGTGCGGAGCACCAATGAGGCACTCATTCTGCCCAAGTGGCCAAATGAGACGGCAGGAACGAACCGCCTTGGTTCAATCAATCCACCTTGCTCAGAGCGAGCCCAAGCTGTCCTTACTGCCTTCTTGGGCTACAAGCCAAAGGGCTCATCAGGCGGTCTAGGAAGGTCTGTCAGAGGTATCGGACACCTGCACAGAAATGGACATGTTACAGTAGATGGCCCATCTTGCCCACGTCCGAGGTCTGGGAATCCTGCCTGGCTCCCACGTCCGCCTTTCAAAGCTCTGGGCGCAGCTTGGTGGCAGTGTCCCACCTGTCACTCCCGACAGCCAGAGAATCCAAGTAATCGTTTAAAGAAAAAAAAACACTAAGAAAGCAGAATGCAACATGCCAGCAAAGTTGGCTTGCACTTGTTCAGTTATCCCCTTAACAACTGAATCTTGTAGGCTACAAACTTGTCTCAACATGCTTCAACCTGACTGAGTGAAACCATGTGTCCTCGCAAAAACCTCTTCTCAAGAAGGCAGAAACTATATAGTTGTGAGTTGTGACAAAACTCAATATGGGAGCCTTTCTTATCATCCGCCAGACAAGAACAACTGCGCCACTTTTGCTGGAACTCCGTTGCAGACTGCAGCCGAACCAGCCGAACCACCCGAGTTCGTTCGATCTGCGTCCAGCGTGGAGCCGAGCCGCATTTGCCATGCCTTCTCCTTGCCATAGTGCTGCATCTGGGCGAATCAAGCCGCTTCGCGCCCATGACATTCGCTTCGCGCCCATGACAGGCATATGTCCGGAGAACCTCTCTCTGTCGCAACCCATCCGAAAAGCGGATTGGCCAAGTTTCAGGCAAACTCGTCGAAGGTGTAGAACTTCCCATCGTTGGCCTTGCGAGACTCCTGGCGTACGACTTCAACAATCCACTTACTTTGCTTGCTTGGTTACCCACAGGTTGGAAGCCAAAGTGAGGTCTCCTCCTTCGAAGAGGACCATTCCTTCACCCAGCCTTCCTGCCAATCTAGAGGTGAGACATAAGACCAAGCTATGTCTTCACATGAGCCCAGACCGCTTTGTTTCAATGATCATCTTCTCAAGCTCAATTGCTAGTGCCTCGCCCAAGTAGTCAATGTAGTAGTCACGGAACTCGCCTGCAGTGTAGGCCTTGCCAAACGTTCAAAAAAATAAGGCGCATGACTCCGATTCTGAACCGTGCCTTGCCGTTCCGAGCAACTCGCGTTTCGATGTACTTGGCAGCCTGAGAGATTTCATTTCTGCATCTGGGCTCGACGAGTTGGACTTTAACAAATCCGGCGCTAAGTTGCTTGCGTTTGTCCACTTATCCTTCCCCTCCTTCAAAACGGCTGCCAAATCTATTTCCATGACAACATGAACCCTACTCTTCATCACATGAACAAAAAACGGCAATCGATCCTTGTCGAAGAACTTCTTAAACTGCAGGGCGTTGTACAGCTTGCCATCCTTGCTTTCAAATCATGTACCCAAGGGCTCATGATTTAAGGCCATCCTCTTAAGTTTCAAGAAGAAAGTGGGCGGAAACCGATCTCATGTTCTTTGTCACTAGACCCCAAACCATTCATCGCAGCCATCCACGGCGCTCGGCGCTCATCATCGCTCATCCAAGTCTCGTCGGCTCTACGGCGCTCGACGCTCTGTTCGTCACAGTAGACCCAGGGTCCTTTGATGGAGTAGTGTCCACAGCCTCCCAATGTTCTCACAATGTTCGAGAACAATGTGCGAGAACAATGTGAAACACCATGAAACACCTGTGGGAAACTCATGACAACACCCGTGAAGACATGCATCTTCCAACATATCTCTGTCAAAAAGGGCATGTCGGCGTCGAAGATATAATACGCGCATATGACAGCACATGAAATCCATGGATGAAGCGTGCGCACGTCATATTCCAGCAATTAATCAGCATCTGAAAGCTAAAAACAAAGCCGCACAACAGCTCTCTTGCGGAACGAACTTTGCTTAGGCCCCGACCGAATTTTGTTCGACACCAGGGTTTCTCCTCGTTGGACATGAAGTGGAAGTGATACCCACAGTTGCCATGTGTAGTCTTACCTGCAACACTGGAGGAAGCAGGGCACCGAAGACGTGGCGGCTTGAAAGTAGGTCTACTTTCTGCAGGTTCACTGCAGCACGTGATTTAGTCTCGTCTACTGGATTCTTGCAGCGGACCCCTTCTCCTGCCAAAACATGCTAAAACCACATGTGGCCTGACAAATTTCTGCATTTGCTCACATGCTCTCCACAACAGCTATAAATGGAACCTCCGGAAACCCACTTGTGTTCCATGTTTCACCTTGTGCACATGTGTTTCTTCGTCTGGCACAACCCAGCTTGGTAGACATCTGCCTCCAGCACATCTGCAGCCCAAGACCTCCTGACCAAACTCACCCACGAGCTTCTCCTGGCGTCGTTGTCGACTTTCTCATATGTGGGCCTTTGTGGCTCAAGACCTCTCTCGCATGCGTTCCAAATGGCTTGCAAGACGACCCATCTGCGCCCCGTTGATTGATATAAGACTACCAAAGGACTCCAGAAAAAGGAATTTGTACATCCCGATCTCCTGCGCGTGGACAAGCAGAGCAGACAAAGCAACGAGAAGAAACCTGCCCAACTGTTCAGCGGTGCAAGTAATTCCAAGGTGTATCTGAGTGCCAATAGCCCAAGCTCATTCTTGTACTCCATACTCAGTGTTCTGGGCATGCTAAATCGATTACGTCACCTGTGAACTTGTGAGCAAATCATGTGTCTCGAAGGCCTCATGGCAGCCACCCCTTCACAGCTATATACTATTGAACCAATGCTGAGCCATGCGTAAATTGTGTGCGAAGCTACCAACGCAATCAGAACAACGGCACGGGGACGTTCCATTCAAGATTAGAAAGAATGCGGTCTTGCAAGTGCATCCTGAAAGAAACAAGCAGCTTCAGAAGGCTATAAGTAAGACGTCTGATGTTGTCTGACACATGGCTGTTTTTGCCGCTCGTCTGGTGCGTGATGGGGGCAGTGCCAAGCTGGTGCAGCCAAGTTAAGGCAGGGATCTGTACATTGGTGCCCGGATTCAGAAGAACTCCTTCTTGGGGAAAGTACAGCAAGCGCACATCGCACTAGCAAAGAGCCTCAGCTCAAAGAGAGAAAATCTGAATCTTACAGAACAGTTTGATCACTGCCGGGAGACGTGATCAGCATTGCAGTCAGCACGAAGTCATAAATTGGGAAAGCCTTATGGCACCTGGCCAGGCACTTTTTATGAGATTAGTTTATGATCCGTTGCTTTTGCACGAACAAACAATTTAGTTTTCTAAACTAGACTGCATGTATTAAATCTGTTCCCTCTCTTCAAGTCATCATCAAAGTGCACAATGGTTATCCGCCATGTTTTTCCACCTCAGCTGGCCCGTGCCCCAAAATCGACAGCTGGGCCTGTGCAGGGGATCCAGCACCGCGCCAAAGCATTCGAGCTGCACAGCAGCACCCATCGCCTCCAGAAGGCAGGGCATCCGGCACCCATCTGGTGTGTGTGCGTGCGGGTGTGTCATGGACCCTAGATTTTGGCCCCCCTCTATGGGGGGCTTGTGTGTGAAACCCTTGGAATCACAGGGCACCTCTTGGTGTTTTCTTTATCGGGGGGGCAATCCCACATTGCAGTTGATTGCGGGTCGGGCTGCAACTGTGGCCGAAATCTGGCAAGGACGCTTTCCAGGCGTACCTGCTTTCATTTGAACTGCTCAAGCTGTGACTCTACGTTCCCGTAAATGGCAAATGCACTCTGCAGTCACGCACTCGTCGCTGGAGCCGTTCACGTCTTCGGAGCTTTGAGACTTTGTCCTCCTAACTACAAGCGATGGCTCCCAGGATGTTCAAACCACCTTACTTACCCTTTGTCCTGGCTTAGGCTGGCGAGTGGCAAACCGCAAATCAATCCCGTACGCATTTTCCCGAGCGTGTGTCTGTCCTCCCATGGTGCCAATTGAACGCTATTTCTTGCAGGATTTGTAACTGTCTCTACCAAAAAAGTCCTCGCTGAAAAGTCGAATGAAGATGGACTGGTCCCAAGCAGAATCCACAGGCCTGGAACTCCACAAGTCCTTTTCCAGCGGGAAGACAACCCGACAACCCCAATGTCCCGTGTTGGGGCCCCATCATTCGTCCAATGCGTGCCTGTCGCAGCTTGGCAGTGGAATCGATCTGGTACGCCTCCAAGGTCCTACTGACATCGTACCTCATGAGAGCTTCACTCGCTGGAAGTTCAGTATCCCAATCGAATCGGCAGATCAACGACCAACGGGCATAGTTTCCGGGATCAAGCCATTCAAAACACCACTTGGTAAGTGCATCGCTACTAGTAACAAGGGCATCGCTACTAGGAACCACTGCATTACTACTAGTAACAAGAAGCTACTAGACTTGAAGTTCACAGGTCTCCGCTTCCGAGCCATTCAGGTCCAAGGATCAATCGCCCAAACAGCCCGCACCCCCACTGGGAGCCCCTGCCCTTCAAGACCGGAGGTCCAAAGGTCCTACACCCGCAGAACGCAAGTCTGTCAACTTACCTAAGAGCAAGGACGCTACTAAGGGCTCCTGGCCTTACTACTAGGAGCAAGGACGCTACTAGGAGCAAAGGGCACCGCTACTAGGAGCAAGGACGCTACTAGGGGCTCCTGGTGTCCATCGTTCTCCTCATCTTCTAGAAGCAAAAATGACATGCAGCACATGTTCCTTTCTTTGTGACAGAGGCCTGTCCTGCGTAGGCTGCCCGGTCAGCCTCCGCCAAAGCAGCGTTTCTCCAGCAGCAGCGGAGTTGATGACTTGCCTCATGGGGCTTATGGGTGCAGAGGTGAAATCATCTCACATCAACATAGGGGAAGAGACGATCAATTCTTGGCCACTGAGATGGCCAGAATGGCCACTGATGTGTCCTCAACCTCTGGAAACCGGATCGATCGTCTAAAAGTCTAAAATGGCCTCGTGACTGGAATCGACATGCCTGAATTGTTCAATTCTGGGTTGAGATACCCAGAACCTGTGAGACTGGGAATTACATAGTACCTGCAAAACACTGGGCAGAGGTATATACCAAAGCATGCCCTCGCTTGACATTGCTGCTTTTGCCAGTACAAAGACAGATTCTCTTGGGTGCAAATGAGGGAAAACGTAAGGGTGATCCCCAGCCATCGCTCTACGGCTGAATAGTCCTTGAGCTGAGACACTGAAGGCTATCGAGCTTCATCTCTTGCAATCGGGGGCGCTCCACTTCCAAGATGCCCAAATCTGCGCGGGCCTGTGCCATGGCTGGGCCAATGCCCTTCTCGCACCCACCAAAAATGTAATACTCAGATCAAACCACCCAAGACCAAATTAGTGTACGTTCGTTGCAGCGCTCTCTGGAAATTCTTTGACATGGAAAATGACAAGGGTGGCTGCAAGGAGCATGGATGGTGGTAAACAAATGTTTGGTCTGCTAGCTCATCTTTCTTTACAGTGTGTCTTTACAGTGTCATCCTCAGAACATCAGGGGGGTGCCCATCCAGCCATTCCAGAAGCCTCACCAAGAATCTGGAAGTGATAGGGCTGTTCAAATCCGGCGTGCGAAACGGCAAAGAGTTTGGAAAGTTTAGAACCAGTTAAACCGGCAAAGAGCCAATATCAACTTGCATGGAAGAGACTCCGAAAATCCAGGGCCATGGCGAGAAATCAAGAAGACCTTTTACAGACTTTAAGCCAAGTCAAGGGGATCCAGGGGTGTCAACAAGAAAAGCAAGTGCCAGCAATACTGTAATATGCGACCAAAGGTATCTCCGGAAGTACATCCAAAGGTATCTGAATCCTTGGGTTAACAAACAAAGAAACAAGCTTAAGCACTGTGAGGGCAGCTCAACTCTTCGATCAAGGCACCTCACGTGCAGCACGGGCTGCACCTACTAAGGGCAGCAGCAAACAAATGGCCTGCGAAGTGAGGTTTGTAAAGTGCTCCAGCTTGGCACAACTCTCTTATTTCCAAACTCTACTCAGTACTCATCTCTACTCTCTCTATATATATATATATATAGATGGCTTGGTGGGAAACTACAGCAATACTTGTTTGCCAGGCAAAGTAGTCTGAAAAAGGCTGCAATGCGCTGCAAAGGCCGTGTATTTCAACATGTTCAAAGAAAACACAGCCTCACGAGGAAAAATAAGGTGTCAATCAAGGACGTCTGCTGTTTGATCCCACATCCTTGAAGTACCCATCCTGGCCTTTGCGGTCATGCTGCAATAGCAGGTGCTGGTCATGGAAGGTAGCTGGAAATCCAGCTTCTTGAGTGAAAAGCCAAAAGCATCGTGGGGCCTGACTAAAATTGGAGCTCCAAGAGTCTTTCAAAACCTTGTAGACAAAAGCCACTGGCTTGCCTCTACTTTTATGCCTCATCCGTTTGGAGTTTGCAAACGACCTTGAGCCAAGCCACCGAAGGGGAAAGCAAGTTGGCTTCACAAACAAATCTGTGCTAGTGAAATCCGGTACATGCACACATCGTTCCTTGAATCACTTTCGTTGGTCCACAAGGTTGATGATTTTTCAGAGGTACTCAACATGTCAGCATGTGGTGGCTGCATTCATTCTTTCCTGAGCTCTACTTCTCTTCCTCGCTGGCCACTTCATTTCACATCCAACAACTCCATCATGGTGACATTGTGGAGGACACTTGTGGTTCAGCCGATGGAAACTCCTGCAGCTTGGCAGTCTTGACCTTCTTGACGTACCAGATCAGCCGCGACCTTCACTCATGCTTCAATCATCTCCCTTGCTGAATGCCACACCTAGGTGCGTTGCACCGCGTGAAACAACCACATGAAACAACCATGGTGGAAGCTGCGTGAGACACGAGGAATCGATTCCATGGCTCCCAGAACCGAACTCTTCCCCACTCCATTGGCCGCCAAAGTGCTTGCCACACTCTTTCGATCACGACGAGCCTGCAAGCGCTGGCGTGCTGGAGTAGCTTGCTTGGCACCCTGGGTCGACATCAGAATCAAAATCAGCAAAGTTCAATTGTGAGAAACATAATGTAAGCATAATCAGTAAAGCCAAATTTCCAGTCATGTATGTGATCATATCACTTGCCTGAGGCCTAAAGGACATCTGCGTCCGAAGGAAGCAACTCTGACTGGACTTGATTTCTGGTGTGTCCTGGAACCTTTTGAAATCTCCGGCCCAAAAAGACTTTTGTACACACCGGACCAAACATGTTGCACTTGACTGCCTCGACTGAGGCTCTGGCTAGAGATTCTTGTGACATGCCACGGGCCATTCCTCTTGGCGTTCGTGCTTCATCAGTGCACTGAGAACCAGCCCTGGATGTGTTGGCCGGTGATGAGACTTGCTGGTCGACGTACAACACTGCGGAGTCCACAACCTCACAGCGC